CACTGTCGGAGGGTCAGTGCTGAGGGAGTGCCGCACTGTTGGAGGGTCAGTGCTGAGGGAGTGCCACACTGCCTATGAATATCGTGAGTTTAGGCATGATGCTATACCGATGCAGTATTTCTTTCCATCTGAGGATTTATGCAATAAAGGAGCAACATCGCTGCAGAACAGAAGACAGAGAAAAATCACAGACAGCACCTTCCTAAACCACATGAAGACACAAAGCACTTACGAATTTAATTTTTGATTTGAAGTGCAGTTGGAGGTTTGCACAGTTCTAATTAAACTACAAAAGCAGCAATGCCCTGTCACCTGCGCAGACCTCATCGTAACATGGTGCCAAGTTTTTGTCACATTTTGTTATGAAAATGAATTCCAGTGCCTCCATTTTAATCATCTTAGAGATAGCCTGGAGATTCATCGAGTATTTTATACCTATATTCTGCATTCTTTCGCACTGTCGAAGAATTCTGAGGAATGGCAGAAGGAGATTAATTTAGATAAAGGTGAGGTGTTGCAGGACCTACACAGACAATGTTAGGGCCCTGGGGAGTATTATAGAACAAAGAGATCTCAAGGTACAGGTTCATAGCTCCTTGATGATGGAGTCACAGGTAGAGAAGGTGGTGAAGAAGGCTTTCGGCATGCTTCCCTTCATTGGTCAGAACATTGAGTATAGGAGTTGGGACATCTTGTTGCAGCTGTACAAGATGTTGGTGAGGCCACTTTTGGGATACTGCGTGCAGTTCTGGTTGCTGTACAGTAGAAAGGATATTATTAAAATAGAAAGAATGCAGAAAAGATTTACTAGGATGCTGCCTGGACTGGAATGTTTAGGTTGTAAGGAGAGATTGGATAGGCTGGGACTTTTTCCCTTTGAGCATAGGAGACTGGTGACAGTGACCTTATAAAGATCTAGAATGCCATGAGGCATAGATAAGGTAGACAGTGGACAGCTTTTCCCCATGGTAAGGGAATCTCAAACCAGAAGGTATCGCTTTAAGATGAGAGGGGAGAGATACAAAAGGGTCCAGAGGGGCGATTTTTTCACACAGAGGGTGGTGTCTGGAACTGGCCGCCAGAGGTATTGGTGGAAGTGAGTACAATTTCATCATTTAAGAGACATTTAGAGAGGTGCATGGATGGGATAGGTTTGGGGGATATGGACAGGCAAATGGGATTAGTTTAAATTGTGAAAACTGGGTGACATGGACAGGCCTGTTTCCATGTTGTCGACCTATATGACTCTGAATAGACATGTTTAGATGAGAGGGTAGAAATCTTTGGAATTCTCTCCCCTGGGGTATGCCGTAAACACACAGTCATTGATTAAGTTCCAGATGAAAATTACAGGGGGACCCCTGATTTACAAACGTGTGACTTACAAACACTCGTATTTGCAAAGGCGATCCCATACAGGGGTGGTCTGACATACAAACATGGCCCATACTTACAACAAACTATTTTACATTGTCCTGCCTTATGATCCGACCTGCGAACAGACTCGCGAACAATACCCAGGCACTGCCTGTATTAAACTTCTAGATTAGTGGAGACTAAAGAGACTTCTAGATTACTGGAGACTCCAGATTAAAGAAATTGAGGAGTGTACAGATGGTGCAGGAAAATGAGGTCAACGATCAGCCATGATCTAGAAAGGTGAAGCAGGTTTGAGGGGCTGAATGGACCTACTCCTGCTGTACATTGAAATATATAAAATTCTTCAAGGGCTTGGGAGTTTAAATGCTGTTTTTCCAGGAGATTTAGAGAGGTATCAATTCAGAAGAAATGGGTAAGAAATGTAAGGCTGACATGAGTAGGAAGCTCTTCAATCAAAGTTGTGAACCTTTAGGATTATCTAACCTGAAGAGCTGTGGATGCTCAGGCATTGAGCACATTCAGGAAAAAGGCCATTAAATGTCTAGGCATTAAAGATATCAAGGAGACAATGGCTTGAGATCAAAGATCAGACAAGGCCAATATCTGCAAATACTCCAAACCCAAACTAAAGTCTCACAAACTCATGGTTTATTCATCTTTAGCGAATAATTATTCTATTCTCATTAAGAGTCAGCATAATACTCATGGAAAGCCTTCAGAGGCTAAATTTTAGCAACTGGCATGGCCTACCATTTCTCTAACACTGATTGCCAATACTACGTTCAGTATATCATTGGTAATGAGGAGTAAAGGGCTTGGCTTCTGACAAAGAGACAGTAAAAACACTAAGACTGACCACAGAACGACGTTGTAGCCAGTCGACTCCGTTCAAGTGGTGGGGCCCACATGCTCCAGAGCCCGTGGCATGCTGGGTAGGTGACTCCCTGTAGAAAAGCAATGGACCATTTATAGCCTTTTTGGAAACAGAGCACAGTAACAATTAGAGATAACACAGTGTGGAGCTGGAGGAACACAGCAGGCCAGGCAGCGTCACAGGAGCAAGAAAGTGGGCGTTTCGGGTCGGGACCCTTCTTCAGAAACTTTCCTGCTCCTCTGACGCTGCCTGGCCTGCTGTGTTCCTCCAGCTCCACGCTGTGTTATCTCTGACTCCAGCATCAGCAGTTCCTACTATCTCACAGTAACAATTAGAACAGTATCTTGCAGAGTTGTTACGGTGCAAGAGGAGGCCATTCAGCCTATTGTGCCTGCTTTAGCTGATTAAATAGACATCATTCCCTAGTGACAATCTCCTGCGTTATCCCCATTCCCTTGCACATTATTTTCATCCAAATAACCAATGAATGCCCTCTTGAATGCCCAAATTGGACCTGCCTCCACCACATTCCCAGGTAGTGCATTCCAGGCCCTCACTTATCACTGAGTGATTTTTTTTATTTTCTCACATCACCCTTAATTCGTTTGCACATCACTTTAAATCTGTGCCCTCTCGTTCTTGTTCCTTTTGTGAATGGGAACAGCTTCTCCCCATCTACTCTGTCCAGCCCTGCTCAAATTTCTATCAAATCTCCTTTTGCCTTCTTCTCTCCAAGGAGAACTGTCCCAAATTCTTCAGCCTTTTATCTTTGCTGAAGTTCCTCATCCCTCGAATCATTCCTGTAAATTCTTTCTGCACTCTCTCCATGTGTTCACATTTCCCTATATTATTTCCTATAACATGCAGTATAATCCTACATACTGCAGCTGAGGTCCAGCAAGAACTCGCAGTAACAGAGAAAAGTTACACACCATCCTGACTTGGACATAAATTGGGGTCAAAGTTGTGGAATTCCCTTCCCAACAGCACAGTGTGTAACTATGTCACATGTGCTGGGAAGTTTCAAGAAGGGGATCTCAATACCACCTTCCCAAGAATGGTTAGGATGGTCAATAAATGCTGGCTTGACCTGCAAAGTCCGCATCCCAAGAATTCAGACTGAATGTAGTTTGTTGAAAGGACTATTGTAATTTGTAGCTTTCAACACAATTGACACTTAAAGCAACAAGGAAAGTTGGTAATTGAGAAGATACTGAGTCACCCCAGAACAAATCAAAGCCTTGGAACAGAATCTCAACTGTGTGGTCACTGTTATTATAGAATAGAATCCCTACAGTGTGGAAACAGGCCCTTTGGCCCAACAGGTCCACACTGACACCCAGACCCATCTCCCAATAACCTACCTAATCTACACATCCCTGAACACTATGGACAATTTAGCATGGCCAATCCACCTAACCTGCACGTCTTTGGATTGTGGAGGAAACCGGAGCACCAGGAGGAAACCCATGCAGATACGAGGAGAATGTGCAAACTCCACACAGACAGTCACCCGAGGCTGGAATCGAACCTAGATTCCTGGTGCTGTGAGGCAGCAGTGCTAACCACTGTGCCACTGTGCCACCGTGCCACCCATAAATGTGGGTAACAAATCTCATAGAAGGTAGGTCATGACCACATCCTCAAGGGCAGTTAAGGACGGCCAATAAATGATGGCCCAGCCAGGTGATACCCACAACCTGTGACTGAATTGTTAAGAAAAAACACAGAATAACACAGCACTGTAGGTGACCATTAGGCCCATTGAATTAGTGCCAGCACTTTTGGCGAGCATTCCAGTTATTCTCACTCACTTGCTGTCCCCCTACAGCCTTGCAGTTTGTGCACAGTAAAATCCTGAATGGGTGTACTATATTGATCCCACACTTGCTTAAGGAAGACTCATAGAAAGGGATGTTAATTCAAGAACTGATACCAAGAACGTACAACCAGGTCAATTTCTGGTTCTCCCCTTCTAGGACGGGAATGCCAGTTTACATTCAAATATTTAATGACTGTAATCGAGGATTTGCTTTCTACACATTCTATGGAGCACGTATTTGTGACCAATCACAGAATGGATGTTTTAAAAGACCATCCCAAATAATCACGGGTGAAAATGGCCCTCCGGTCCATTTGAAACCATTCATCCATGAATATTCTATAATGTTTCCCATCTTCCCACTCCTGTTCCATTAATTTGTCTCTTAATTCATTCCAAGAATTTCCCTCTTCCACCCCCTGCAACCTTACCCAGTGCTTAACAGCCCAGTAAAGGACCATTTATCCTTCCATACACATTTTGGCTCTTTAGAAGAGCCACCCAGTTAACCTATGTCCAGAGACTCACACAGTTTTGGCTCCCAGTGTATCTAAGGAAGAGTTTATTGGCATTATCCACAAGTTTGCCATTTCCTAGTTGGTTGCACTGATTCACCCAGTCATATACTGACCATCAACCAGTTTTATCTTTCGCCTAACTTTAGCACTGTATACACCTCTATATCTCTACCGAAACCCCACACTCTGAGAAATCTAAGGGTCACGGTTCAGTGCATGAGAACAAAAACACCCAAAAACTACCCAAAGTTGGACTCCCTGTGAAATTTCCAGACAAGCTATCAGCTTCCATGGATGCTCCAGAGACATGACCCATGCTTCAGGAGGACTGAACTTCACACCATGGATCACAGAAACTCTGCACTCCTCATTTTTAATGAACTTACAATGACATCCCACTCCCTCCCTGCCCTCCTGAGAGATAGGCTGAAGACAGAGCACAAAGATCACTGGACTCAAAACATTAACTCTGTCTCTCTCTGCCAGACCTGCTGAGTTTCTCGAGCAATTTCTGTTTTTGTGTGTTACATAGGAAGGTGGTCACGGCTGTTGGAGGTCAGTCGTCTCAGTTCCAGACCATCTCTGTAGGAGTTCCTCAGCCCAATCATCTTCAACTGCTTCATAGAATCCCTACAGTGTGGAAACAGGCCCTTGGGCCAACAAGTCAACACCAACCTTCAGAGCATCCCACCCAGACCCTTCTCCCAATAACCTACCTAATCTACACCTCCCTGAACACTATGGGCAATTTAGTATGGCCAATCCACCTAGCCTGCACATCTTTGGACTGTGGGAGGAAACTGGAGCACCCAGAGGAAACCCAAACAGACACGGGGAGAATGTGCAAACTCCACACAGACAGTCACCTTAGGGTGGCATTGAACCCGGGTCCCTAGTGCTGTGAGGGAGCAGTTCTAACCACTGAGCCACTATGCCACCCTTTGTCAATGACTTTCCCTCCATCATAAGGTCGGGGTAGCGGGTGGGTGCCTAATCACTGATTATTGCACAAAGTTCAAAAAGTAACTCATCAACTGACTCCCCAAAGCCTGTCCAGTATTGACAAGGCACAAGTCAGGAGTGTGATGGAATACTCCCCACTTGCCTGGATTGGTGCAGCCCCAACAACACTCAATATGTCCAACACTATCAGGACACAGAAGCCCACTTGATTGGCACTACATCCATCACCGTTAATATTCACTGTCTCCAGCACCAGTACACAGTGGCAGCAAGGTATACCACATTCAAAATGCACTGCAGTACCTCACCAAGGCTCCTTTCATTGTACCTTCCAAACCTGTTACCTCTACCCCCACCGAGAACAACAAGGACAGGAGATGCCCAGGAGCAAGTTTCTCTCTGTAGTATGCTCCCAAATGACCACTGCCGGCACCTTGTGGTTTTTGCCACTTCTACCAGTATGTGGTACCGGGTACATGTGCATGGAAAAAGGTGGATTGATTAGGAAGTATGAGCATTGACTACTAATGGGGGAATTATGCTTAACTAACTTGCTGGAGTTTTCTGAAGAGGTAGCAGAAAGGGTCAAACAGGGCAATGTTGTTGATGTGGTATACATGGATTTCCAGAATGTGTTTGATACAGTGTCTCACAACAGATTTATCAGGAAAGATACAGATCATGGTATAAAAGAGACAGTAGCAACAATGGACTCAGACTGACTGAGGGGCAGGAAACAGGAAGTAATGGTTAAAGGACATTTTTCAGGTTGGAGGGAGGTTTGCAGGGGTCAATATTGGGACCCTGGTTTTTCCTGATATATATTAACGATTTGGATCTAGGCATGCAGGGAACAATTTCAAAGTTTGCAGATGACACAAAACTTGGAGGAATTGTAAACTTTGAGAAGGACAGTGTGTAATTCCAAAAGGATGTTGGCAAGTTTATAGAGTAGATAGATGGCAGATGAGGTTAATTGCAGACAAGTGTGAGGCGATGTGTTTTGGTTGGAAGAACATTGAAGGACAGGATGAAATAAGGGTATAATTCTAAAGAGGACGCAGGAGCAGAGGGAGCTGGGTGTAAAAGATCATTGAAGGTGGCAGGAAGAGGGAGACCAAGTTAATAAAGCACACAGTATTTCTCTTTATGAATAGGGGCATGGAGTACAAGAGCGAGGAGGCGATACTGAACTTGTACAAGACACTTGTTACACCCCAGCTGTGTACAGTTGTTGCAACCACTTCACTGGAAGGATGTGAATATATTGGAGAGAGTGCAGAAGTGATTTACAAGAATGATTCCAGGAATGAGAAACTTCAGAGATGAGGCTGGATTGAAGGAGTTGGGACTGTTCTCCTTGGAGAGAAAAAGAGTGAGAGGAAATTTGATTGAGATTTTCAAAAATCATGGGCGGAATAATTAGAGAAGATAGGGAGAAACAAAGAAGCAGGAATGAGCAGGCATAGATTTAAGAGGATGTGCAAAAAAATGATTTTTTCACCCAGTGAGTAGTTAGGGTCTGAAATGCACTGCCTGGAAATGTGATGGAGGCAGGTTCTACTGAGGTATTCAAGAGGGTATTAGATAGTTATTTGGATAGGAATAGTGTGCAAGGATACGGGGTTAAAGGCTGGAGATTGGCACCAGGGTAATAGAACTGGTGTGGGCACGATGGGCTGAATCTATGATTCTGTAGAGCTTTCTTTATTCATTTATGGGATGTGGGTGTCGTTGGCTGGCCAGCATTTATTGCCCGTCCCTAGTTGCCCCTTGAGAAGGTGATGGTGAGCTGCCTTCTTGAATCGCTGCAGTCCATCTGCTGTGGGTTGACCCACAATGCCCTTAGGGAGGGAATTCCAGAATTTTGACCCAGCAACAGGGAAGGAACGGCGATATATTTCCAAGTCAGGATGGTGAATGGCTTGGAGGGGAACTTGCAGGGGGCGGTGTTCCCATGTATCTGCTGCCCTTGTCCTTCTAGATGGAAGTGGTCGTAGGTTTGGAAGGTGCTGTCTGAGGATCTTTGGTGAATTTCTGCAGAGCATCTTGTAGGTAATACACACTGCTGCTACTGAGCATCGGTGGTGAAGGGAGTGGATGCTTGTGGATGTGATGCCAGTCAAGTGGGCTGCTTTGTCCTGGACAGTGTCAAGCTTTCTGAGTGTTGTTGAAGCTGCACCCATCCAGGCAAGTGGGGAGTATTCCATCACACTCCTGATTCCTGGAATAATTAAGTTAATCCTACTGCAAGGAGAAACAATACCAGTCTGTCAGATCCTGATATATTTCCCAGCCTCAAAGTTTGAGAATGAAGATACCAGCATCACTGTCTCACTCGAGCTCATCACCTGTATCGAGGGGCTCCACAATCTGTCAATGAGGTTACAGAACAGGAGGCCATTCAGCCCATTGTAATGTACTACTTCTCTGACAGACCCATTATCATCTTCTTGTCCCTGCTCTTTCTCCATTCAGCCCATTACCCCTTGGATATATAAACAAACTATCAGGTCACACCAGGCATGAAGGAACACTAAATTTGGCATTTGAATGTCAACGAAAATTTCAGTCTCGGCTTCTCATCTTTCTAAATAGAAGTTGTGGAGGAGGAGGGGGTAAGAAATGCCATAGTTCACCAAGAACACCTTGGTCATCCACGCGCCTGAGCTGTCTGACTGAAAGGGCACTGTTTCACCGTCACAGTGCTTGGCTGTTTTAAGTTGAGTTCGAACACCTACCTCCACGAGACCCTGAAGTATCCTTACAAACAGGACACAGCCAAAGTGCATTCTTGCTGCTGATGGAATGAGCATGTTCAGTGTCGAAGTCAAGAAGATAGCAGCTCCAAAAACTCTAGGATTAAAAAGCATAAGGAAAACCGTCAGACCATAAGACACAGGCGCAAAAATAGACCATTCAGCCCTTCACATCTGCTCAGCCACTCAATGGCTGATCTGATAATCCACAACTCCACTTTTCCCTAAAGCCCTTTATTCCATTCCTGATTATAAACCTATCTCAGTCTGGAATGGGGAGGTGATGGCCTAGTGGTATTATCACTGGGCTGTTCATCCAAAGACCCAGATAATGTTCTGGGGATGCGTGTTCAAATCCCACTACAGCAGATGGTGGAATAAAAATCTGGAATTAAGAATCTAATGATGACTGTGAATCCATTGTCAATTGTCAGGAAAAACCCATCTGGTACACTAATGCCCTTTAGGGAAGGAAATCTACTATCCTTACCTGGTCTGGCCTACATGTGACTCCAGACCCACAGCAATGTGGTTGACTCTTAGCTGCCCTCTGGGCAATAAATGCTGCCCAGTTAGTGATGCCCTCATCCTGTGAATAAATAAAGGAATATACCTAAAGGCCCAGCCCTCTGTAGTACAGGATTCCACAGATTCACTACGCTTTGAGAGAAGAAATGCCTCCTTATCTCTGCTTTAAGTAGGTGACCCCTTATTCTGAGGCGCTTTCCCCTGGCTCTAGCCTTTTCCGCAGCAGGAAAACAACCTCTCCCCACTTACCCTGGCAAGTCTACGAAGAATCTTCAAATGTAACAGGAGTTAGTTTGTCACTGGCACAAACGAAAAATACTACAAATGCTGAAAATCTGAAACAAAATCAGAAATTGTTGGAGAAACTCAGCAGGTCTAGCACCATCTGTGGAGAGAGAAAGAGATTTAATGTTTTGAGATAACAAGGTGTAGAGCTGGATGAACACAGCAGGCCAAGCAGCATCAGAGGAGCAGGAAAGCTGAGGTTTCGGGTTTGGACCCTTCTTCAGAAAATAATGTTTTGAGTCTGGTATGATGCTTCCTCAGAGCATCAGTTATAGAGCCATAGAGTCACACAGCATGGAAACAGACCTTTTGGTCCAACCAGTCCAAACTGACCATAAACTAGTCCCATCTCCCTGTGTTTAGCCCATATCCCTCCAAATATTTCTTAGAAGTAAATCTAGAAATAAGCCTGAATCTCAGGAGCAGCTGCAAGATCTGCCGTATTCTCTGTCCATGATCTTAGAATCAGTTACGGTCAGTAATGTTCACTATGGGAATAAGCTTCACTAGCAACTGTGCACCATTTAAAGGATCATTCAATATCATTGCTCATTGCATTTTTCACTTTAATACACAGATGGTTGCTGAAGCGGTTGAACACTGATGACATTATCAACACCATTAGTTAAGATTGAAGGGACTGGAATTAGCTTACCACTTTATCTCAATATTAACCCAGATTTTCACTGAGACAGGTTTGGCGAGCAGGGAACAAGGGATTTGATCTCGCCACCCACCGTTCTACTTCACAGCCTGTGTCCTTGATCTCCGTACTCAGTTGGCAGGGGAACGCTCCATAGAAACTTTAGATGGGGAATCTGCAGCCAGGATAGTGTTATTGGAGCATGAGGGCAGACCCGAATCTTTGGAGTTGGGGAGTGGTCCACATTGTCGAGGATGGGGCTGCAATTGTGTGTGGGATGCCCCTCAGTTTCTGGACTGGGGCATTACCTAGTGGGAGACCTGGGACAAGGTGGGGGTAAGTGGCACCACTCCTGTTTCTCTAAGTCAACAAGCAGCACTATAAAACTCAGAGTTAACAATCCCAGGAAAACACAGACCAGGCTTAAATCTGGAAGATACGTTAGAATCTGAAACATGCAGCATCATTATCATGTTCAAACTGCCAGACCACCAGCCAAGAGAAAGTTTGTCACCTGACCATTTCCCATTCCCCATATTAAAAGCCCAAGTTGGGGGTTTGGAGCTGGGCTCTAGACTCCACACATGGCAATGGCACAGGGCTGTTCCAGGAAGTAGGCATTCTCCAGCTCTCAGTCTCACAATCCTATCAGTTAGAGGAACAAGGGAGCAGAAAGAGGAGGCCATTCAGCCTCTCAAACCTATTCTACCACTCAATCAGATAATGGCTTATCTCTACCTCAATTCCTTGCCTTGACAGAGGCAAAAGAAAAAAGCTGCCAACTGCAGACTTGAAATCTCCAATTGACTGAGAGCATTCTCATTCAAGAAAGTAACCGAAATGCTGAAGCTGGGTCACGGGACTAGAAATGTTAATACTGTTTCTATCTCCTCAGATGCTGTCAGACCTGCTGAGTTTCTCCAGTATGCTCTGTGTTTATTTCCTGCTTTCACAAAACCGGTCTTAGAATCTTCCCGCAGCACGTGGGAGTCTTCTCCCAAGAGGAGTGTAACCATCATATCTTGAGGAAATAAAGGCAGCAGCTGTGCTAACACAGGGCAGTGTAATGTTACAGAAGTGGAGAATCAGTGATGACACAGATAGGTCAGTAAATTAACCTCAGGGTCCAATATCAGTCCAGTGTTGTGAGTGATCTGTTTCAGTTTCAGACACTGGCCAGGAAAGGAGATCTGTCAGTGAAGGTTAGGAAATAAAGTCTGTGGCAAGTTTAATTGAAGGAAAACCATAGGTTAATTCTCACACACACCAGTTCTGAGGAAGGGTCACCGGACCTGAAACGTTAACTCTGTTTTCTCCTTCACAGATGTTGCCAGACCTGCTGAGCTTTTCCAGCAACTTTGTTTTTGTTCCTGATTTACAGCACACGCAGTTCTTTCGGTTTTTATCTAAGGGTTAATTCTCAGCTCCATGCTGTTCTTGCCCAGCTGTTGAACGAGCTCACACCCAAATCCCATCGACAATAAATGATTGCAGGATGAACCATGCTTTAAACAACCCCAGGAGGGATTCCGTGCATGCACCTGAAGTATCCATCACAGAGCGAACAGAGCACCTTAAGGTAATCTTCAAATTAAATTCGAAATGAACGAATGAATTACGCATTTCATTCTCAGCAGCTTCTCAAATGTTGCCTTCAGCTGATAGTAAGACAGCAATATTTACCAATACACTGCAAGATGTGGGCCATTCAGCCCATCGAGCCTGCTCCACCGTTCAGTGAGATCACGGCTGGCCTGATAATCCTCAACTTCACTTTCCTGCCTTTTCCCTGTAACCCTCAATTCCTTTACTGATTAAAAATTTGCCTGTTTCAAACTTGAATGTACTTAATGATCAGGCCTTGACAGCCCTCTGTGGTAAAGAACTCCACTCCCTCTGAGAGAAGAAAGTCCTCCCTATCTCTGTCTTAAACAGGTGAGCCCCTTATTCTGACAGGATGCCCTCTGATCCTAGGCTCTTCCACAAGGGGAACCACCTTCCCTGTATCTACCCTGCCAAGTCCCCTCAGGATCTTCTATGGTTCAAGAAGGTCACCTGTAAGATCTCTACGTTTAGTACACATCAGTGAAACTGTGCATCAGACTTTCGATTACAGCAGCCAGCACTCTATGGGAATGCGTTATTTTCTGTGTTGTTGAGACATCTTAATGGATACCATGGGATTAACGTTAACTTGAAATAAATGGGTTTTGATTGAGTTATGTTCAAGCCTAATTGATCCATTCTGCAGCTCTTGTCAAACATTGATAAATTTATACCCAATTCTGAACTCTGTCAATGCATAAGGGACTTGTACATTGTTCTGAACACAGCACCTCTCTGTACATAAACAGTAAGGTTTTTACTGCCAATAAATAATCTTGCCGCTAACTGGACCCCAGTATGAATTCAAAAATAGGGAGGTCATTAAATTATATCATTGATTGCCGGTTAGAGATACGACGTCAAACACAGAAGAAGAACTGTGGATTTATAATGACCACATCCTATTTCAAAGGAGTTTTATGGTTGTTATAATTGCGGTCCCACAATGCTGGTGTGCCGTGCTTGGAGTCAGTAGATCCATCTTGAAGAGGTGTGTTATAACAAGCCCAAACAGGTATATTAAAAATATACAAAATGATCAGGGAAGGTTGAACAGGCTAATGGTCTGGAAAAAAAGGGAATTTCTGAGGGTGACCTGATTGAGATCTCGAATGTAATGCAACAGTTTGGTAAGTGAGGTCCTGAGAGGTTAATTCCCCTTTTGGTAAAATCAAATGCTAAGTTTCTATAGACAGAAAATGCTGGGAATTCTGAAGAAGTTCCTTTATTCAGAGAATGGTAAGGAAGTGGAGTTCACTACCTCAGGGTGAAAGATATGTTTAAGAAGCCAGATAAGTGCATGAAGGTGAAAGGAATGGGAAATGGTGATGGGGGGCTGAGAGAGCTGGTGAGAGGGATTTCAAATGGAGCACTGACATCTATGTCAACCACTGGGGTGAAATCCAATAGCTCTCCTGCTCACCGATGAAGCCATATGATCTTCTACAGTCACCAGAACACACATTTGCGTTTGACACCACATCAGGCAGGGTAATTCCAGTTCATTTCTATCGCATTGAATTGGACATAAATTGCCCATTCGATGAATTAACGTGGTGTAGTCTCGGTGTGGATTAAGCCTGGCAATGTTGTGGGTTAGCTTGGAGAGCTAGTGTGCACTACAGGGTGATATCGACAGCATGGCTTCAATTTCTGCATTGGTTGAGGTCACCATTGAAGGTCCTGCCTTTTTGACATTGCCCCTCACCTTCTGCATGGGTGACCCTCAGGTTAAACCCTTTCTCTCTAATGAGAGAGTGGGCCTGTGGTAACTCTACCTTTAGAACATAGAACAGTACAGCACAGTACAGGCCCTTCGGCCCACGATGTTGTGCCGAAATTTTACTCTAAACCTAAAGTCTATCTAACCTCCACCCCTACCTTATACTATCATCCATATGCCTATCTAATAGCCGCTTAAATGCCCCTAGTGAGGCCGACTCCACTACCCTCTCTGGCAATGCATTCCACACCCTGACCACTCTCTGAGTAAAGAACCTACCTCTGACGTCTCCCTTATATCTACCTCCACTCAC